GATTCTAACTTGAGAGAAGCCTGAGCCTGGGATCACCTCACTGGGCACCACAGGGTGTCCAACTGTCCTGTTTTGCTCCAGACAGAGAAGTTTCCTGGGTCAGGGCACCTTCAGTGCAAACCAAGACAGACCCACGAAAAACCAGAATGGGTGGCCACTGCGCTGGCCTGTTCTCAAGGTAGAGCAGGTGGCATGGTCACATGTGACCTAACAGATGGCACTATTTTATTATTAATCATTAAGTGATTGAAACTTTCCGATTAAAAGTTTCACATAGGTAGTACTGAATACTGAAATTCAGAATTTTACTGCAATTAACCTGAGCTGGTAAATACTTGAGGGAGGGGGGTTGTTGTGTTTTTTTGTTTTGCAGTCCTGGGTTTTGAACCCAGGGGTGCTTTACAACTGAGCCGTACCCCCAGCACTTCATTTTATTTTATTTTATTTTATTTTTTTTTAAGAGAGAGTGAGAGAGGAGAGAGAGAATTCTTTTTTTTTTTTAATATTTATTTTTCAGTTCTCGGTGGACACAACATCTTTGTTGGTATGTGATGCTGAGGATCGAACCCGGGCCGCATGCATGCCAGGCGAGCGCGCTACCACTTGAGCCACATCCCCAGCCCCCCAGCACTTCATTTATTTGAAGACAGCATCTTGCTAAGTTGCTGAGCCTGGCCTCAAACTTGTGATCCTCCTGTCTCAGCCTCTCAAGTCACTGGCATTACAGGCATGCACCACCATGCCTGAGAGAATCTTTTCCTTCATTCTTTCAGTTACTATTCCTTTTTTCTCTTCTTTCTACCCATACACTGTGCCGTATGAAGTTAACAGTACCCTATGCCATAGTGTTCTGTACTGATTCCCATGTGAAGCAATTATCTTATTGAGATCTCAGCAACTCAAAGAAATATCTCTGAAAAACTGTTTAATTAACCCCAGCAGAAAAAAGAATGGAGAATACAAAGAAATAAACAAACCAAAAAAAAAAAAAACAAAACCCTGAAGTAGGCATGGACTGTGGATTACTTTTAACATATAAAAATTTCTCTTCCACTAGACATTATTCAAAATACCCAGTTTCCAGTGTTTAAAAAAAAAAAAAGTACTATCAACCTTCTCTTAATCACTCTTAATAAAAGATCTAAAACTGGGTAGTTTCATTTAAACACTGCATACACATTTGGCTGGGTAATAAGTAAAAAGTAGTATTCTTTGAAAAATACTACAAACAACAGGCAGATTGCAATTTCAGAAGTAGGTAAGGAGCACTGTACTCATATCCATCAGCATCATCTCCCATTTCTATTTTCTGTTCTTAAAAAGAAAGAAATTCCCATTCCCTTACCTACAGTTATAAACTGACCACTTTCCTCATAATCTTCTTCTGCTCTGCCATTTGCTGGAGGGACACCTCTCCCTTTGGGACCTTTCCCTCTGGAGCTCCTACCATTACTCACTTCCTGACTCAGGAACTGGGCTCACAGCCTCAGGCAAAGCTGTAAACCAACCAGGTGTTTCTCCATCTCCTCCCTCCCTGCCTCCTTCAGCTCCCGGTGACTAAATGTTCCAGGTAATGCTCTAGCTCACTCACACTACACCCCCTTGACTCAGGACCCAGAGGTCCCAAAACTTAGCTTCTCTGAGATAAGAAAATTCCTAGAAAATTTGGGTAACAGTAAATCACAGCTAATTTGGAATATATTAACTTATGACATGAATAAGAGATGAATGATTTTTAGCCCAAATGTACCTTTTATTCAATTACTGAAAGAGTTTGCTGAGGGCTGGGGATATGGCTCAAGCGGTAGCGCACTCACCTGGGTTCAATCCTCAGCACCACATACATACAAAGATGTTGTGTCTACTGAAAACTAAAAAAAAAATTAAAATATTTTAAAAAATTCTCTCTTAAAAAAAGTTTGCTGAGCCAGTTAATAATGAACTAGTGAATAAAAATATTTATCCTACTTTATATGTAGTGTAAAATTATATATATATATAAAACATATATATTACAATCTATTTAACTTCTTGTAGGTTGGCAAAAGGTAGTGTTTTGAAGCAATGAAAACATTGTTCTTTATTTGCAAGTTCACAACATCTGTTGACGTTTATAAAATTAGGTTACATTTTCAAGCTGCATTTGGGCATTATGGATTTCATTATCTCAGTCTTATCATGCTTCGGTTTTACTAAATAATGTTTGCTGGGCCATTGGTAAAAAGAAACCAAAATTGTCACACATACATAAACATTTAAGAAACATTGTTACTAATAAAGGATAATCCTTCTTGATTGTTTTTAACCTACTGTCCCATAAATCTTCAGTGCCTACAGTTTATGCAATCAATCCCAATGAGAAAGACAGAAAGTTAATAAAACCATTAGCAAATAAAGCCAGACAATTGCAATCTCAATCTCCTCTCTCCCTCCCTCTCTCTCTCTCTCTCTCTCTCTCACACACACACACACACACACACACACACACAGGTCATACTCTTTGTAGAATCAATTTGTTTAAGAAACTAATTTGCCTGATTTCACACTACCAGTTGATCATGTTACCCTAAAATTATCATTTAAAAAGCTGTATTGAAAATTAGATAACTTTTTAATTTACTCTGTTATACACTTTCATTGACAAATTTATCTACACTGATTGGTTGTTAGCAGTAATACAAATAACCCAAAACAAAGTACTTTAAAAAAAATATTGTTTGGAGCCAGGTGTGGTGGTGCCTGTCTATAATCCTAGCAGCTGGGTAGGCTGAGGCAGGAGGACTGCAAGTTCAAAGCCCTAAGCCACTCAGTGAGACCTCATCTCTAAATAAAAAACAAAAAGGACCAGGGATGTGGCTCAGTGATAAAGTACACCTGGGTTCAATCCCTGGTACAAAAAAAAAAAAAAAAGTATTGTTTGGCTTTTGACATTGTACCAATTCATGGAAATTGCTGTTGGATTTTTTGGTCAAGAAGTTGGAAATAAAAGGAACGAGACTGCTTTCTGAGAGTTAAATTTTAAGATTATATATGATGGGTAAGGATAGAAATAAGCAAAACCATCCTTTAAAACACAAGCTTGTCTGACTTAACTTTAACTTGATTTTTATTGAAAGAACAGTGCTAAGAGGTAGCTATGGAAACAGAGGAAGGAACCTACAGGGGCTCTTGAGGGCTGGCAGCCAGTCAGGTGCTGATGAGGAGGGAAGGAGCCTAAATGAAGAGCACAGCATGACGTCCCCAGTATATTGGAGATCAATGTAGAAAATTGCAACCACTGGAAATTGAGTACACATTTCTACCTTCGGGACAAAAAATCATCCTGCTTTAGAAATAGATGAATCAAAAAATAGATGAATCAAGGAAAGTCTATTCATACGACTCTAGTTGTTCTGAATCTGCGCTTATCAAGCGCCTTCCAATGTTTCATTTCCTGAGCATGTTTGGCTGTACAGAAAATGCACTTTCTTTGCAATTGTGAGGACTCAGCTATATAAATTATAGCTCTTGGAAATTAAGAAATTAATATTCTGTTTGTATATCTCACTACTTTGACTAATGTAAGCTCAGTTGATTGTTGGAGGTGTTCTATATTGCTCAAGAAAGACATCTTAAGACCAGGATATTCTAGACCATATCTGAGAAGACTGTGGGAAATTCACATATGATGCTTGTGGAAACTGCTGGGGACAGCCAGCAGGCCTTCTCCTGCTGACACCAATCAGCCCAGCTTTTCCATTTCAAATGATCACTAAGGGGGAGGAGGGGGAGGAGTTCAATGCTAACACTTGCTTAACTATTTTCTAGCAAGGCCCTGGGTTTGATCTCCAGCATCAGAAAAAAAAAAATCATCAATATCAATTTTTACCTATTATTTTCTTTATTCTAACTATAATTAGATTGCTGTAGTGACAATCCTATGAATGTACACCAGCCATTGGTGTGGAAGGCGGAAGATAGCTCAAGGCAGAACAGGTGACAAGAAGTCCTTGGACTTAAAATATATCAAAGACAGTTCAGTTTACAAATTGGACAATAGTACACATCCGCCATATATTCACTACATTTTTTTTTCTTTGAGGTGGGGC